TACTACAGACCTCCTGATCAAGGTGAGGAGGTTGATGAGGCTTTCTACAAGCAACTGAAAGCAGCCTCACAACTACAGTCGCTGGTCCTCATGGGAGATTTCAACTACCCTGATATCTGCTGGAAGACTCACACAGCCAGCCTTTCACAGTCTAGGAGGTTCCTCCAATGCATTGATGATAACTTCTTAATGCAAATGGTGGACAAGCCGACTAGAAGAGGAGCGCTGCTGGATCTTGTACTAACCAGCAAGGAGGGCCTTGTTGAAGCAGTGGTGGTCAATGGCAGCCTTGGCTGCAGTGATCATGAGATGGTGGAGTTCAGGATCCTGTGTGGAAGGAACAAAATACCCAGCAGGACCAGAACCCTGGACTTCCACAGGGCAAACTTTGGTCTCCTCAATCATCTATTAAGGGAAATCCCATGGGACAGGGTGCTAGAAAATAAAGGAGCTCAAGATAGCTGGTCAACATTCAAGGACCACTTCTTGCAAGCACAGGATCAGAGTGTCCCAATGGTTAGGAAATCTAGTAAGGGTGCTAGGAGACCTGCATGGTTAAAGAAGGAACTACTGGGCAAACTTAAGTGGAAAAGGAAAATCTATAGATCATGGAAGGAGGGGCTGGTCACTTGGGAGGAATATAGGACTGTTGTCAGAGGATGTAGGGAGGCAATTAGGAAAGCTAAGGCCTCCTTGGAACTTAACCTTGCAAGTCAGGTTAAGGATAATAGAAAGGGCTTTTTCAAGTACATAGCTAGCAAAACTAGCAATAGAGGCAATATTGGCCCATTGAGGAATGAGGTGGGAGCCCTGGTGACAGAGGATATAAAGAAGGCAGAGGTGCTGAATGCCTTCTTTGCCTCTGTCTTCACTCCTGCAGGGTCTCCCTATGAGCCCCAGATTCATATAGCCCCAGAAGAGGTCAAGATAGAGGAAGAGTTTGACATGGTAGATGAAGATTGGGTTAGGGATCAGTTGAGTAATCTGGACATCCATAAATCAATGGGTCCAGATGGAATGCACCCAAGGGTGCTGAGGGAGCTGGCGGAGGTCATTGCTAGGCCACTCTCCATCATCTTCAGTAAATCATGGGCAACAGGTGAGGTGCCTGAGGACTGGAGGATAGCAAATGTCACTCCAGTCTACAAGAAGGGCAAGAAGGAGGACCCGGGTAACTATAGACCGGTCAGCCTCACCTCCATCCCTGGAAAGGTGATGGAACAACTTGTTCTTGTCACTATCTCCAGGCACATCAAGGACATGGGGGTCATCAAGAGCAGTCAGCATGGTTTTATCAAGGGTAAATCATGTTTGACTAACCTCATAGCCTTCTATGAGGAAATTACTAGGTGGATAGATGATGGTAGAGCGGTAGATGTGGTTTATCTTGATTTCAGTAAAGCATTTGACACCGTCTCCCACAGCATCCTTGTAGAAAAGTTGATCAGGTATGGGTTTGGTGATCAGGAAGTGAGGTGGATTAGGAACTGGTTGAAAGGAAGGAGTCAGAGAGTTGTAGTCAATGGGGCAGAATCTGGTTGGAGGTGTGTGACTAGTGGAGTCCCACAGGGGTCGGTACTGGGACCGGTGTTGTTCAACATCTTCATCAACGACCTGGATGAGGGTATAGAATGTACCCTCAGCAAGTTTGCTGATGACACTAAGCTGGGAGGAGTGGCTGACACACCAGAAGGCTGTGCTGCCATTCAGAGAGACTTAGATAGGTTGGAGAGTTGGGCGGGGAGAAACATGATGAAATTCAACAAGGGGAAGTGCAGAGTTTTACATTTGGGGAAGAACAACACCATGTCCCAGTACAGGTTGGGGGCTGAACTGCTGGAGAGTAGTGTAGGTGAAAGAGACCTGGGGGTCCTGGTAGACAGGAGGATGACCATGAGCCAGCAATGTGCCCTTGTGGCCAAGAAGGCCAATGGCATCCTGGGGTGCATTAGAAAGGGTGTGGTTAGTAGGTCAAGAGAGGTTCTCCTCCCCCTCTATTCTGCATTGGTGAGGCCACATCTGGAGTATTGTGTCCAGTTCTGGGCCCCTCAGTTCAAAAAGGACAGGGAACTGCTCGAAAGAGTCCAGCGCAGAGCTACGAAGATGATTAGGGGAGTGGAACATCTCCCTTATGAGGAAAGGCTGAGGGAGCTGGGTCTCTTTAGCTTGGAGAAAAGGAGACTGAGGGGTGACCTCATCAATGTTTACAAATATGTAAGGGGTGAGTGTCAGGGGGACGGAGTTAGGCTTTTCTCAGTGATGACCAGTGATAGGACAAGGGTTGTGGAGTCTCCTTCACTGGAGACATTCAAAACCCACCTGGATGCGTTCCTGTGTGATGTACTCTAGGTGACCCTGCTCTGGCAGGGGGGTTGGACTAGATGATCTCTCAAAGTCCCTTCCAGCCCCTAAGATTCTATGATTCTATGATTCTATGATACTGTTCCATTTAGAAATAATAAAATATTCCTTTCAGGTGCAAGTGGTGACTTTTGGTTACAGATAATAGATGGCAGTAAATCCAAGAGACAGATTTTACTAGTAAATTTGCAGTTGATATGAACACAGAAAAAAAGATCCATACTTCCATACCATTTGTTCTCTGAAGCAGCACATGAACCTGGAATTATTTTCCTGAATTACCAGCAAGAGACTGAAACATAAGCATAAAGAGGGAGGAGAATTATTCTGAGCAGTCATGAGAAACAAAATGCTCTCATTTTCATCAAGAATATCTGCAGTAATCTAACTACCTGATTTGCATTGTTCTTGTAGCTGTTGCTTCCAATGAGTACTTGTTTCCAAAGGTATTGTTCAAAGTAGTTTGCAGAATGACAATATCAGTGTAATTTCTTAGACTGTAGAAGCCACTGCAGTGTTCTGAATTTGGAAGATCGTAGCATCTTTTAAAACATGGTACAGTTTGGTATTGTCCATTACCTCAAGATCAGAGGATTTGATTTCATTGTTGCTGTAAGCTGATTGAAGATGCTCCTGCCAGGAAGTGAGGCTTTCTCACAGCCCCAGAACTGTTCACTGCTATCTTCCCCTGATGATGGAACTAGTAATTGGGCATCTGTATACTGAGGTGGAGCAGAGTGTAGATCATTTAGCCCTGGATGCAGCCACTGGCACTGACCCAAAGCAAGGACCAGGCACATGTGGCTTGGAGATGGTGGCACCATTCTTTTTGGTGGTGTGGTCTTTATCCAGTTGTGAAGCCATCCTCAAAGTGGGCAGTAGTGGAAAAAATTATATGTGGAGTGTAGTGGTGGTGTGTATTAAAGAAGTGAAGGGGTCTTTCTTCCTTTACACACACTTCACTTGCAGTCTGGAAAAGCTGGTGGCTTTGAAAGCAGTTTGAGTTTACTGAAAGTCATATGAGAATAGCTTTCAGAATACTTTGAAGATGCAGTGAAAAGCAGCAAGGAAGTAACACTTAATCTATTGCACACATACATTGCAAGCCTGCTTCCTAAGCAGATGCTTATTTCTCCATTTAAACTCACTTTAGAGAAGAGAATCTTCAAAGTTCTTCTGAGGTTGGTGAGAGATTCCTTGTAGTAAATGGATGTCTGAGGCCAGAGAATGGCTTAATGCTTTTATTTGCCTTTGTCCATTTACTTGTGACTTCTTGACACTTCTTTATAATTTTGTAGTTATTTTAAGTCTAGTAACATTTTATTATATTTGAGGACATTTTGCTACCAGAAACCATTTCTTATGAGGCATTTATACATTTTATTACACTTTTGAGACATTTACAGTGGCTGCTTATGACTTTGGTGTGTCACCACTACTTTATTTGAAAGAAAATGTTTGGCATTACTTGTCTATTGTATTGAATTAGATTAAATAAAGTAGTATCCTTCAAATTGTGTACTTTGATGTTCTAGAACAAAGTTTATTCCCTTCCCCTCCTCTCAAAAAGTGTAACTTGAAGTGGACACGTATTTTGTCAAATCCTGCTTTAAATCTTGCCGTCTCTCCACAATATATTTTATTTTACTCTTGCAACCAGCTTATTTTAATGTAGGATCATCTTGCTTCTAACTGTTGAAGTTTTAGGTTTTGGCCATCTACAGGTTTCAACCAATTGGTGAATGTAGCCATTATCCTGCTATGTTTACTGTCAGATCTTATATTTTTTAAGGCCCTTCTGTGTTTTATGTATACTTGGATCATATTTCTTTCCTTCTTCAGTGTAGTTTTTGTTTCCTTAGGAGGTTAGTTACTTGCTGTATATGGCAGGCATGTTTAAAAATGCTTAGAAATACTACATGGCACTTGCAAGCCATGGGCCTGGTGTCAGGATAGTTCATTGTCATGAAATGCAGATACTAACGTTTGCATGTATTGTAAATGTCAAACTCATATAGTGTGAATTCAAAAATGTAGGGGTGAATTTTGAGTTTCAACCTTGAAATGAACTACAGTATTGTTGACAAGGTCTGAATTTGGAAAGCATTAGCCTTAAATCAATCAGTATGTAGGCTTTTATGTAAAAGATGCAGTCTAAAAATGTATTGTTGCCTAGAATATAACAGCAACAAAACTTTAATAGTACATATCAGCCTGTCAGCTAACAACAGAAGTCTGTTCTAAATCTTCATTGTTATGAAAGTTTGTGCAGAATCTTTCCCACAGCAACTTTCTGGAGTTGGCTCAGTTTGAACACTTAAAAACTAGTAGCATAAATAAATAAAATTTCATAAATACAATGTGAAAAGGAAATTAATTGCATCTACTCTATTACTTTCTGCTGTAAGCTGCTAAAGATTATATCTGTTTCCCTGTCATACCACCAGTTAAAATGGGTAATGAAAAGTATCTTGTGAAAGGTGAAGTGAACTATATGAGGATATATCAATTTTTTTCAAAATTAAGTAATTATTTTAGTATAGTTTCTCTAATTTTGCCCAAGTTTTCTTTCAATGTGTTAATTTGTGTAAATGTTATAGTAAAGCATAACTTAAGTTAGCATTCTTTTTTATATGCAGGTTTCTACAATCCAAGAACTTGTTACTGGTTATGAAGCCTCTTTGAAAACTTGTGACCTTTTTAGTATATGTGGTAAGGTTTTATGGTCCTATATTAATTGCACTGTAATTACTAATAGTGTTTATGGCAGTTTTCAAGAGCTGTTGAAGTGCTGATACTTTTTGGAAGAAGATAGTTGTAATACCTTCTAGTAAATGAGTGCATTACAGGAAATATCTGCTGGATTTGCCAAGCCTTGAGTTTGTTTGTTTTTTTCAAATGCAGTTTTCAACCTTACTGGTTACTGGTAACTGTTTCCATTTTGTTGCAGAGAACGGAGAGAAAGAGCCCCCAACGACACTGCTTTGGGTTCAGTATTTCCTGGCACAGCACTTTGACAAACTTGGCCAGTGTTCTTTGGCTTTGGAGTATGTTAATGCTGCCATTGCAAGCACTCCAACATTAATAGAACTGTTCTATTTAAAAGCAAGAATTTACAAGGTAAAAAGTGACTTTGGACATGTGAAGTACCTAGCTTAATTAAAAAAAACCAAAAAAACACAAAACAAACATCAAATTGGTGTGAATGTGTGGATAGTACTTCAGTTAGCAATGGTTATGGGCCTGGATTTTCATGTGGGTTTCTTTGCTCACTGTTCTGTCAGGAAGAAAAGAAAACCTCTTTTGTTTAGGTTTTGCAAAGCAAGTCACAACATGCAGCAAATTTTCATTCTGAAAAAAACTCTGGGGGCAGGGGAGAGTGAACAATAATACTTCCTTTTGTTATTTCTGAGGGAGAAATACCAGCAACTAGATTTCAAGAGCTGGTCAATGGCAGGCTTGTACTGAAGTTAACTGTTTGGTTCCTCCCTGACAGCATGTAGGTAACCTCAAGGAAGCTGCCAAATGGATGGATGAAGCCCAGTCTTTGGATACTGCAGACAGGTTTATCAATTCTAAATGTGCTAAATACATGCTGCGAGCAAATATGGTGAAGGATGCAGAGGAGATGTGCTCTAAATTCACAAGGGTAGGTAGTGCTTTAATGAAGAAAGGTTTTGTTTGCCTCTGGCAGTTAATTTTTCATTCACGTAGGTTTTGACAAAAAAACTATCTTGTATTAGCGTTCATTTTTAAGATAATGCTCTTACACTAGTGATAAATATCTACGTAGAGTCACAGAATGATTTGGATTAGAAGGGGCCTTTTAAAGATCATCTAGTCCAACTCTCCTTGCATTGGCAGGGACACCTCCCGCTAGAGCAGGTTGCATAAAGACCCATTCAACCTGACCTTGAGCACTTCCAATCATGGGGCATCCACAGCTGCTCTGGGCAGCCTGTGCCAGTGTCTCTTAATCTTCACAGTAAAGAACTTCCTTATATCCAGTCCAAACCCACCCTCTTTCAGTTTAAAACTGTTGTCCCAGATCCTTTCCCTACAGGCATTGGTGAAAAGTCTCGGTCTTCCTTATAAGCTCCCTCTATATATTGAAAGTACAGTAAGGTCTCCCTGGAGCCTTATCTTCTCCAGCCTGAACAACCCCAACAAACAATTCCAACTCTCTCAGCCTTTCTTCATAGAAGAGCTGTTCTAGCCCTCTGCTGTTCATGAACCTGCTCTAATAGGTCCATACCCATCTTGTGCTGGAGGCCTCAGAGCTGGATACAGTATTCCAGCTGTATAGGCCCCATAAAAACTGGAAGAAATGGTGGTTTACAAGTGGTTGTCTGGCAGTATTATTTATTGACATAATTCTAAGTACCTCTCTGGAAATGCATCTGATGGATACCTTGTTTGCAAAGCTTGCTGTTTCCCAGTAAGACTATCTGTGCTGCAGTTGCACAGGAGTGTGCACTTTATTAATTATCATTTAGCATTAACATAATTTTGACTTGAACATTCAGTTCATGTAAGCCAGTATTACAGGCAAAAAATTTATTCAAGCAAATCCTATCCTTAAAAGATGGGGAAAGCACTTCAAGTTCTGTATTTTTGACATTGAACAAAATTTAGCTCATAAATACCAGATTTCCATATTATGTAAGTAACTAAATATGAAGACAGCTGCTTGGTGGGATTTCCAGGAGCACATAAATGAATTAGGCTCCTTAATTCTTCTTGATTTTAAGTGTGAAAATACTTGAGATTGACACCAGGCTTTTGGTATCACTTTCTAAGAATGGTGTCATATTTCTAAGAATTACTGAAAAATTTTATTTCTATGCTTCTCAGAAGTGTTTGAGCAAGACATACAGAACTCTAGCATAGGTGCCAAGGTAGGATAAATCTGATCCTAAATAATTAGATGTTGTGAGTTGAGCTGGGTTTTCTTTGTAGTATAAAGGCTGTTCTAAATATTTGGTGGCTAGCATTTATGATATGTGAAATGTGCTTCCAGTTTGCTTAATCTTTACCTAGAGCATTGCAACTATAAAAAATAAATCCTACTATTTTTTCTTGTAGAAGTATGAAATACAAATCTAACTTCATTTATTTAGACTAACAAGTTCTAAGAAACTTAGAATTATTTGTACCACATGATAAGGCAGTAAATACTGGTGATTTTTTAGATTAGGAGATGCCAGATACCTGACAGGAAAAAACAAAATTATTTGTTCAACTTCCAAGGTTTTAACACTGGTGTTATTTTCTTCCCCCAAATTGTAAAAATAAGACTGTATACTAGTATCAAATCTTAAAAAAAATTTATCTGCTGAGACACTAATCTTGTTCAGGTATTTTCTGTTTCTATCTTGGGGAACATAGTGTATCACAAGTATTATTCTTAGTCACTAGGTGGTTATATCTATTTTCTGTTGTATTCCAAGTAGTTGAAGGATTGATTGTTTCCTGCTAATGGCCTGAAACTAGCCATAGTTGAAAGAAGCAGCTGGTAAATTATAATAGCAAAAAGTGATAATGATACTTGTTTTAGGAAGGAACTTCTGCTATGGAAAACCTAAACGAGATGCAGTGTATGTGGTTCCAGACTGAATGTGCTGCAGCTTATCAAAGGCTAGGGAAGTATGGTGATGCCTTGAAAAAATGCCATGAAGTAGAAAGGGTAAGTAGGTGCCACCATCCATTAATTAACCACTGTTTCTCTCACGCTAATGCATATATTTGCTGATGTGATCAGCATGATTTGCTTTGCATGTGAAGTTTCTAGTATAAGGATTTTTAAAAGCTGGTTAATACTTGTTGATTTATTGTAATAGATGCCATCCTTAGCTATTATATGACAAACGATTATTTGAAGTGAAAAAGATTCAGTGTAAATACCATGTCTCCTAACTATACAACTATTTATACATTAACTTGATGCTTTAGCAGATTGGTTGGTTTTTTGTTGGTGTTTTTTTTTTTAATTGAAGCAATCACATTTCAGTTGGCTTTTAAAGAGTTTCTGAAGTCTTTGAACAATCACATTTTAGTTTTTGTTTACAAAACAAGATTTTTCTGTGTGGTTTTTTCCTTTCTGACAGGATCTCTTGGACCATGACTATTAAGAATTTTTTCTTTACCTGCTAAAATATTGCCTGTAAATAGTATCAGTTGTAACTTTATTCACCTCCATCTAATTAAAAAAAAAATAAAATAGGCTAAGTAAAGGAAGTGCATAAGAGTTGTGTGTGTTTTCTTTTTTGCTTGAAGCATTTTTTCGAGATAACGGATGATCAATTTGATTTCCACACATACTGCATGAGAAAGATGACTCTTCGTGCCTATGTAGATCTTTTGAGATTAGAAGATGTGCTCAGGAAACATGCCTTCTACTTCAAGGCTGCTCGATCAGCAATTGAAATCTACTTGAAGCTCCATGATAATCCTCTTACCAATGAAAGCAAAGAACAAGAAGTGAATTCAGGTATTTAGACCATAATGGAGGATCATATGTGTACGACACATGTAAAAGCTTATTAAGCTAAGTAAGTTATTTACCATAGAGTAAATGAGTTGTAACATAGACAAGTTTTTTTCTCTTTTCTGTCATGATTTGATAACTGAAAAGAGATCACAGATAACACGCTACAGCCTTCTTCCTCTCTTGATTTCTTCTCATCATATTGTAAAGCTGGTATGTGGATGAACCCATACTGTAGTTGGAGTACTTGGAGAACTTCCATTTCAGACTATTAAAAGGGAAAATAAAATTTGTTTCAGCCATTTATCCATTTAAACAGGAGATAAATGGTATTAACAGTTGAATTATGAAACAATAGATTTTGTGGGAAAGAAGTCTGAACTGTAAGTGTAATTTGATGTACTTTAATTTTTACATTGTAATACTAGTTAACACTGCATTACATTTAATAATTTTTCACATAACTTCAGGACCAAAGAGTACATGGATAAGTGTGTGTATTAGCAAAATTATTACTTAGGAAATTATTTAAAGCTAGTGTTAAATGAAAAGCAGACTTTCTAAAACCAGTGGGTCATGGCTTGGAAATCTGAGGATTCAATGACAGATGAACTATGGGGCATTTTCCTTTAAGACAAACAGTTGCTTCTCCTTACATGGAATCACAGTTACTGATGACACTGCAGTGACTGTTCCCTAAAGGGGTGAAAGTAATGTGTAGTTCTTTGCAAAGGGAAAGACATTTGACATGGTGAAATAGTTAAACTAAACCAAAAGTGCCACTTAGTATTGCCAGTACAGTTGTACCTTTGATATAGAGGTAAATAATAAGTTTTTCCATATCTGCCTACATATAATGAAGTACATTTCAGGAAGAAACTAGATATCAGGAAGAAATTCTTCACCATGAGGGTTACAAGGTGCAAGAATAGGTTGCCCAGGGAGGTTGTTGATGCCTCCTCCCCGGAGGTGTTTAAGGCCAGGTTGGGTGAGGCTTGTGCAGCCTGGTCTAGTGTGAGGTGTCCCTGCTCATAGCAGGGAGGTTGGATCCTGATGATCTTTAAGGTCCCTTCCATCCTCAACCGTTCTTATGATTCTATATGAAAAGAGGCACATTTCACAGCACTTGCATATTTTTCTCTCCAATTTTAAATTGTTTTGTACATAATGTAAGATTGGTGTGTGACAGAGGGTCTTGATAGCAGTATGTCATAGAAACTGAGAGTCTAAGAATTCATGGTAGGTCATTTGCCTGCTGTGGGGATTCAGTAGGTTCATCCCCAAAGGAAGGACAGCACTCTATGAAGGGGGTAAAAAAAGCACTGCCTTCCCTATTGCAGAATGGTGACTGGCTCCAGAAGAGAGGTCAAGGTGCCACAGCCACAAAAAAATCTATTAGTCCCTCACTAGCACATTCTTCTGTTCCTTGCAACATAATTAGCATGAGATCTGTACTCAGTGAACTCCAGAATAAACAGAGTGGAAATTACAGTATTATTCTGGCTAAGCTGCTGAGATCAGTGGTGCAGAAGGGGAGGAATAAGAAGTGAATGGAAAGGCTGTGAAGGCTCCTCTCTTCTATGTGAACCTGTAGGAAACCATGTTTTTGTGTGTTCTGTATTTCATGCAACTGTTAAACCTTCTTAGTTTATCTAAGTGCTAGTCCAGTCTAAAAATCTGAACACAACAAGCACCTTAAGATTCATATAATGGTCTTGCTAATACAGAGTATTTTACCACTCTTCACCCCAAGCAGTATCAGTTTTTGCTTGCATCCATTTAGTTGTCCCATGGCATTTGCAGAAAATCAATGCAGTAATCGTGGCTGTATGTTGTTCAAACACTTTAGTGAAAGATAAGTTTATTTTAAGATGAAGTGTAGATCTGTATGATCTAGTTTGCATTAGAAGGAAGCTGAGCTACAGTCAGTGTGAGACTTCAGTGTCTTGTCTGTTTTCTAAGGTACAGCCTGTCAGAGATGCAACAACTTCATGTAGTTAACCTTTCAAATAGTTGAGGTTTTTGTAACAACCATGTAAGAGGAAGAAATGCCAGACCAAGTGCTCTGTTATGCTGTAAATAGTAATCCAGTAGTAATGTTGGACTATATAGGAGTCTGTCAAGTGCTGATATTTATGGAAATCATTCTCTAAGTGTGCTGTTTTGATATGGGGGAGGAGCCGAGTGGCATTTGAGAGAAGTGAGAATTTTTTTAATTGAATGATCTCATAGTATAAATTACCTGTTTGTTATCTTAATCTGCAGAAAATCTCTCAGCCAAAGAACTGAAGAAAATGCTTAGCAAGCAAAGAAGAGCACAGAAGAAAGCAAAACTTGAAGAGGAAAGAAAACATGCAGAAAGAGAGCGACAACAAAAGAATCAAAAGAAAAAGCGAGATGAAGAGGAGGAGGAAACTAGTGGACCTAGGGAAGAGCTAGTTCCTGAAAAACTGGAAAGGGTTAGAATGGTCTTTTGTGTTAAATTAATATGATTATCATAAAAAGCCTATAATAAAATTACTGTCAGGTTCTTGGTTTTTAAAGTAATACTTTACTAAATCAAAGTTAGATATTAATATGATTCTATGGATGTTATTTTCTTTAAATTTGTTGGTTTTTTTAACACTAGGCCTTCCTTCATTAAAATAGATAATGAACACCTTTGGTATTTCTTATTTTACGTTGTAAGCTTTAAATTTCACTGTGTTTTTATTAAAACAGGTAGAAAATCCATTAGAAGAAGCCATTAAGTTCCTTATACCACTTAAGAATCTTATTGGAGATGACATAGAAACACATTTATTAGCATTTGAAATATACTTTAGAAAAGGTAAAGTACTGCATAATTTTCGTTTGCTTTACAAAATGTTAACCCTTCACTGCAACCTGTGTTACCTAAGCATAGCCTAAAATGGTGTGAAACAGATTTACTTAACTGAAGCTGAGCTTTGCGTCATATCCAGTAATCATAAGTGAATAGCATTTTTGTTTGACCACCCTTCAAACAAGCAAGAAAAAACCCTAAGAGGCAAAGTAAGTTATAGTATATACTGATAAATGCTGTAGAAAGATATTTGCAATGTGATCTTTAATTATCTAGGGGAAATAAAGCCAAACAGATAGTTAGTAACAACATGTAGGTTGTGTTGCCAGAGCTCAAGCAGCAGGTATTTCTATTTTATTAAGCAATTGGGATTGGAAAAATAAATCTGTAGTTCTGTGTAGGCATTGATGTTCCTACTGTTTGCACTAGATTTAGGAAAGAAAACAGTAGTAGATTATAAGGAGAGAAAGTTCTGTGCTCTTAATCTTGGTATATTTTTGTTTTTTTCTCCTTCCCACAGGAAAGTTTCTGTTGATGTTGCAGTCTGTCAAAAGAGCTTTTGCTATCAACAGTAATAACCCATGGCTACATGAGTGCTTGATTAAATTCTCTAAAGCTGGTATGTGTATAGGTAGAAAATACATATGTATGAAGATGCAAGATGTTATATCGTAGAAGGACGTTACTATGTAGTTCTGTAATGTATCTTGAAACAAAAATTACTTTTGAAACAAAAATAAAGAAGAAGAAAAATAAAAATACATGGTTAGTTTTGCATGGTAATACCTAGGAAAACACAAGTGGTGGTGTTATGCAGGGTACTGTGTGTGTATGTGTTATACACCTTCCTTCATTAATCCACCAGGTGGACCAAATAACTCATTTTGGCTAGATTTTACAGACTATAACAGGTGTTCCAAAGATCCTCAAAAATCTTAAATTTTAAGAAAATATGTGGCAGATATGGAAGAAAGGTTATAACTGAAGTATGCATTGTGAACTTGTGAGAAGAAAATCTACACAACAGAGCACCCTTCATGAATGTTCAATCTGTAAATGCATGAGTGATGTTTGCGTTGATGTGTTTTGGACTAAAATTTGTTTCTTTCTGTGCTCAGATTTTTAAAATGGGAATTTTAGCAATGATTTTGTGGTTTCCCCACTTTTTCTACAATTTTTAAATGTCTTTTTTCTCCCTCTTACCTTTCCCTTTCTAGTATCTGACCATAGTAATCTCCCAGAAATTGTGAGCAAGGTCCTAACTCAAGAAATGCAGAAAATCTTCGTTAATAAAAACTTGGAAAGTTTTAATGAAGAATTTCTCAAACACAATGCTACCTCCATTCAGCACCAGCTGTCAGGTTTGTTTAACTTTTCAGTGCTATTGAAAAGGAGAAGATGTACTTGATTGAAATCCATAATTTTTATCTACAGTCCATAATTCATATATAAATTCCAATGAGCCAGAAATTCATGTTTACATAAGGGTTTTTTCTGCCTGCTTTTACTCTATACAAAAACTCATTCACTTTTTTTTATTAGATGCTTAAGGAACCTGCTTCTTGCCTCTGAAAAGTGCAAGTTAACCACCACAGATAATCAAGTATGGAAGCGCTGTCATACCTCCTCTTGCAGCTTCCAGTTTTGAAATGTCTAAAATGTATTGTTCATCTCCCTTAAAAGAAGGTTAGGTAACCTACCCCAAACTTAGAGAGGCCATGGAAAGATCCCTGTTCAAGGGCAGCATCCTGTGAAATACTTGCACCTCTTTCCTGTGAGCAGGCTCAAGATTTGGGAAGTCAAGTACAGTTATCTTAGCAGGCAATTGCTCCTGATTCTTACAGGTGTTTTCTTCCACTTTTGTCATGGTTGAGCATCTAACAATATGTTTTCCATATTGTACTTTCTGGTCCTCCTTTATTAAGGAAAATAGTACAGTCACTTTGTCACTGTAGTTGTACAGGCTAAGACTGTCTTCTGAGTTTGGCTTTACTCTGTCTACATCTTCAGTGCCTTTGAGAAGAACCCAAGTTAGATCATTGACAGTGGTGGCATCTGTGTTAGAGAGATGTCAGGGACCCCTTTGGAGAAGGTCAGTCTATCCACATTAAGTGGAAGTGAGGGACTTAAATGTGTGGAAGCTCCTTTGAGTCAATCTATGGACCCGAAGGTTCATCACTGTGGTCAAACATTGTTTCAATTCACAGGCAGTGGGGAACAAATATGGGATGAGGATTTTGAAGTGAAATTGGGAATGAACTAACCATGGACGTGTCCTTGGTAGCTTTAAGTCTTTATCTACGTGTCAATCTTCTGTTTATACTGAAACAAGTTTTAAGTGATTGACTTACCTGCTATACAATTTATAATTTCTTAACTGTCATCTTGAATTCAAGTTTGAAAAACATAAAGGTCTGAAAGACCTGAACCTTAAGCCTGAGAGGACAAATTAATTTTTTCTTAGCTTAAAATGATTACTGGTAAAACAGTAATAAGCATAGCCTCCTTGACTTTAAACAAATTTAACTAATTTGTTTTTTGACAATGATGACTGAAACCCAAATACATTCAGTCTAGCAATTTACTTTCTGAAATCTTCTAGATACAAAAAGCAGTTAGAACTACAAAACTTTCTTTGGAAACTTCTAAATAAGGCAAACAAATTTAGTAATGGGGGAAATGAGCAAGAGGAGACAGTGTAATTCAGTATGCATGTTTTAACTTTTTTAGTAAAGTGATTTGTTAGGCTTTTTGTTCTTTGTAGTAGTTTATGTATGGTGTGTCTGGGAAAAGGAAGGTATATAAAATGTCTACACGTTAATTAAGATGAAATTTTAAGTTAAGACAGCGATAATGTGGGGAGCAATACAGTATTTTGCAGAGATGCCCAGATCAGTTTTGATCAACTGTTTGTGGTCCAAGAAGCTGCATTATTGCATTAATGAAATGTCTGTCTTCCCACTGACATACTCTAGTACAGGCAAAGCACCAAACTTGGATTACACATTCCCTGTACTTAAGCTATTACACTCAGCTCCAGGTTAGTCACCCAGCTTGTTCTTACATTCTGCCATATGAACATGCACTGGTCTGAATTTCTTCTGGACTGTGTTCCACAACTTGGTAACTATATAGTTCACTTACCTCCAGTACCTTTCAAAAGAATTCAGACTATCTTTGAGTAAACATCTTTTACTCACATCTACATTTGTGGGATGGATTTCATTTAGCCTGCTGATCTGAAGAGCTTAGTTACCAACAAACTGAGTTAGTTCTCGACTGGCAAGTCTTCAGTGAAGTGAGGCATTTCACCCTTGCAGAAGCTCATCTGTGTTACTCAATCCTTATGTTTCTAATAAATTCAAAGTAGCTTTAGTTTTGTTAATTATGGACCTCTGAAGATTGAGTCCAACCCTGCTGTCAGAGCAGGACTAAAACTAGGGCTGATCACTCAGAAATGCATTCAGACAGGTCTTGAAAGTCTCCAGAGAAGGAGACTCCACAACCTCTCTGGGCAGCCTGTTCCAGTGGTCTATAACGCTTTCAGTAAAGAAGTTCTTCCTTGTGTTGAGGTGAAACTTCCTGTGCTCAAACTTAAATCCATTGTCCCTTGTCCTATCACAGGGCATAAGTGAAAAGAGGTTGCCCCTGCTTTCTTGATGCCCAGCCCTCATGTATTTATAGACATTAATTAGATCCCCTCTCAGGCTTCTCCTCTCTAGACTAGTCTCTTAGCCTTTCCTCATAAGGCAGGTGTTCCAGTCCCTGCTTTATTAAATCTTGGGAGAAGTCGTAATTCACATGGATTTATATGGTTTTGAGTTCTGTGTGTCTGTATGTGCGGTATTGCATTTAGGAACACCATCTAAGTTTTGTGTTCTTTCTTGTGATAAGGTGCAAAGATGATGTATTTCCTGGACAAATCAAGACAAGAAAAAGCAATTGCTGTTGCTACTAGGTTGGACAAAAACATGAAAGACAGAAATGTGAAGGTAAAATATAGTATTGAAAGCAAAAAAAAAAAAGAGTGGGTTTTTAAATAACATATACTTAACTGCAGGAGATTGTATATGTTTTATACATCATAATTAATATTGCTTGAAAGAACAAGGTTTCAGGTGTTGTTTTTTTCTCCTAAGTAACTATAGGATATCTGAATACCAACAGAGGACTTGTTTCCTCAGATTAGTATTGTTCAACAGTACATCTTTAATAATAGAACAATTGTAAATCACATTTATTAACTGTTGCTTTTGTTTCTTCAGACATTAACAAAGGTTTTTGAGGCCCTGCTTGATGGCAGTTTTGGAAGCTGCCACACTCAATGTGAAGAATATCAAGCAGCATGTCATAAACTGTTTCCTTTTACGTCTGCCTTTATGCCTGCCACAAACGAGGACGATAGCAGCATTGCTTCTGTGAATCATACAGCCATTAACCATGATTTGCTGTCTAATGAAATCTGAAGCAGTGGGTGCAAGCCCGTGTGCCTGGATACCCACATGCACACATGTGTACAAAACTCTGACTCTCATTACATGCTGGCTGGATACAGATCAGGGTTACTTTTCCAGGTTGTATTTTAATATCTTTAACAGGTATAAAAATATTTGGATAGTTAAATGAAATGGAGTATGCTATTAGTTATTTTTTTCTCCCAACAAAAACTGCCAATATTTATGTAAACGTTATCCTTAATCAGCATTTTTCATGTTTATACTTGTACAGTTTTAAGTCTTTTAATAATCCATCAGCCCTCCCTCACAAAAAATTATGGATGTTAAAGACTGCTCTCACGTAAGTGTCATTACATATACAAATAAATATGATCATATCTTGTTAATAAATTATAATTTGAACGGTTTTAGCAGATTAAGACTGAAGTGCTGCTTGAATTTCCCTCTTTATCTTATACTGGGTTTTAGAATTTTTTTTCCTGATTATTTTTTTGGGGGTTTTTATGGGTTTTTTGTTTTTATCTTTGGTCAGTTTGATTTCTTTTGAAGCACAGTGCTAACGAAAGCATTAGAGGTTTGCATGTTTTTGTCAGGTGTGTATCGTATATGGAACCAGTAATGATGGCTATGAAGACTAGGTTCATGTGAAAAAACCCAACAATAACCAAACAAAAAAACCTAGGGCTTTTTGAAAACTAACTTATCTACCTTGTGTTCCATGTTTCTTTAAGTTTATGGTCAGTTTAACATTAAGTTTGCATATCCTGAAGCAATTCCCTGTGAAAACATAATGCATTTGATACTGTTGTTTGTTCTTTGTTCCATCTTTCCCTTCATCCTCTTACTCCTAGTTTCTCCCCATCTGTTGTCTTATTGACACTTAAATTGAAAAAGCTGCTCCAGTTTTGGGCAAATGCAGAAGGTAAAGTAATGGGCAATACAGATTGTGTTTTTTTTCCTAGATCATAAAAAATCAGTGGTAAGTTTACTATATTACCTCCAATAAAAGTCCTAGTTGTCCACTTATGGCTAATACTCCAGTACTTCTCATGTCTAAATGCTATTGCTTTAGATGCTGCAAAGCAAATAGTATGTGAGGAGGAAGTTTTACATTTTAAAAACTATTTAAGGGAGCACAAAGAGGCTGACTACAGATCATAACCTTTTCTTACTTTGTATTCTGGTGCATTAACTATTAAATATACAACACATCAAAATGGAAGTCTGACTAATATATAAAGCATAGTATTGCTGGACAAAATGGCTACATATGACAGCTTTACATTCTGTAAGAACTACTATCAAAACACAACTATACTGTGGCTTGTACAGAAAATATTTTCTGGAAACTGTAATGGAATCATTCGATCTTGTTTTTATTTCACTGCAATGTAAATAATTTCAGTAATATTAACTCGCCCCTCAAAGGCAAATATAAGTTCATGAAGAGGGGATTTTATTAAGACAAATAAACTGTTCTAATTAAAATTCTCCTTTGTGTGTCATCTGTTTAGATTCAAAACTGTTGAATGGAAAACACTGTAAAATATTGCCAACATATGTTATGCTGTAATAAATTATTTTGTACACACTTGCCTTTGGTTTGGAATTTTTGTGTATTCATGGACATCAAACTTCAGCTCATGGCATTCATTGTTGTTGTTTTTTTTCCCCATTCAGTTGCAACATTGACTGGTTTACTGTAAACTCTAGGCAGTAAAGAAAAAAATTACCTGTTTATCGCATTGAGACATATCTATATATAGTAACACACTGCCCTGAGAAATACAGCAAGGTGTTTTTGTCTTTGTGCATTCACCATGTGCTGTTTGCTGTGGAACAGCTTGCTCAAAGATGTCTCAAGCAGGGAGAGGCAGTTGACCAGAATGGGATTATTTTGGCTCAGCAGCACCCAAGAAACACTTCATCAGCCTGCTTAAGATGGAGATATTAGTGGTGTGTTGCTCTTCTGTCTTTCACTGTGATGACACTTACCTTGCTGGAAATTTCATTCAGGCCTTCAAAAGAAGTCTGAAGCACTATAGATAAGACTGCCAATCCAGTCCTCTGGTGTCTGCTTAGCTGGATTCTTTAAATCAGACTTGAACAAAAATACCTGAGGTATCTTTTCAGCAGTTTATTCCTGAAGGAAGTAAATGTCTAGTTTTCATTTCTAGACTAAGAATAGACCATTGCAAAGATCAAGTAGGGTAGTATGGAAAGGATAACAAATAATGCAGAACAGACATCAAGGAAAGGTGTTTTTAAACTATTCTGAAAACATTTGGTGTCTGTTTAGTTACTTGAATTACAAAAGGCATCAAACTTAACATGCTAGAGGAAATATGCTATAGAATATAAATACTAAGCGTTCATATGTCAGAACCAGTGCTTCACATTTCAGTGTTTAAAGTTTAAAAAATATGTCAGCTGGCCTCACTATACACTTTCTTTCATACTGTCATTTTCATTCTTCATTAATTTCCTGCATTTTTCCTCTGCAATTTGTTATCTCAAAAATAATGTAATCCACTTTGACAGTCATAGTCATTCTTCTTTTACTCTACCATGCCTTAACTTCTTCCTCTAGCAAATGTAGCTTCCCTTTTCTTAGGAGTCCACTGGCCTCAGAGTAACTGTTTTGCTGCATCATGAGTTTGTGGACAATCCTGATGAAGTCAGCTTGTGCAGGTGACTCAGCTTGAAGAGCCTCGCACAGTCACACCTGTCCCTGATCTCGGGTATCAGATCTGAGTCTGGTTATCAGATGAGCCTAGCCAAAAATATCCAAGGCTGAGGCCCGGAAATTTCCTGGTTTTGGCACCACCTCTTCTATTGATCCACGGGGAGATGGAAGGAGCGACCTATTTAATACCACAGCTCTCCTGTAACTCTGGCCTGGTCTCAATGCATAAAGAGCAAGGCAGTGATTCCATCAGGCCTGAAGTTAACTTGCTTGAAGATGATTCTGTTGCCACCTACAAGCAGACCTGTGTCAATGCAGCTGTTAATATGTAACATATTTCAACTGTAGATGGTCTTTGTGGAAAGGATTGGTAAAGTTTTGTTTGATTGTAGTAGTGGTTCTGCTAAGAAAAACTGACTAGTGTAGGAAGTAAAGCTGTGATGATCTACAAGTAGAGGTATAGCTAAGTTTTGGCAACTCATTCCTGAAAAGTCTAGAAGAATTGCTAAAGACCAAAACAAATTCCAGGTCTTTTAATGTGCTTGAGTATTTTTACCCTGCTTTTTAAGAGAGGAGAAAGAAGCCTCTGACTGATCACGAAAATCAAACTGTTTTCCTCTGACAACTTAGTATTTCTATATAGGCCAAATTTAAGAGGTTACCAGGAAACGCTTCCATCAGCATATCGCTGTAAGTTTTTTACCAGTTCTTTTTTACCAATACCACATTCAAATGCTTCACAATCTTGATAAGGCATATGTACAACCTCCTCCAAATTTAATCGTAGCAAATGGGCAGTGTGATATGTGCCCTAAGTGCCTGCAGGTATCTTAAGATGGAATTTGCTATCCAGGCCGAAAGGAAACCATGCAGGTGCAGCCAGGCTAGCAAAAAACTGCCTGCAGAATGCAGGGCCTTGCTTATCTCAACATACCTGCCAGTATTAGATAGCTCGAGCCATTATTTAGTGAAGAGCTAATTCAGCTGAGAGAAATGCTTCACTTTGTGTTTTTGACTGGTCTTAACTTCTGGTAGTGAATGAAATTAATTCATCAGAAGATAGTCAGAACTAGTGCAGGGGAAGCAGCAGAAGAGGGAGCAATCTCTCTACAGGCCAGCTCATCTTCAATTGTAACACAAGCATGTCATTGGGTAGCATACATGTCTCTTGGCAATCCTTGCCAGCACATTGAGCCAGGAGACATGGTGGCTCACAATGTATCCACACTGACTAGCTGGCTATCAAAAATGCTGCATCACAGCTCCTTTGGTGCAAGAGCTGCCTGTAAGGCTGGATGTCTCAGTCCAGATCTGCTGTAGCTGTGACTGTGCCCTGCCTTATGGCCTGTAAAATGGTTTTAGGAAAAGCTGAAAACGTCTACAACAGATGTTCTGCAGTCTTCACACTTGTATGGCACCTACATGATGGCATTAAGTATTCTGCTATGATTTGTGTATATATATGTGAAGGTTAGTTAGGCTTCATCTGCTCATTATCATTCTTAGCAAAACCTTCAAAATGCCTTACATAGTCTCAGTGTGAATCGAAATCTTGATTGCTGTAAGTGACAGGAAGCAAGTTTACTTCCCTTTTTGTGGATGTTTGAAAACCTGTTGTTTAAACACTGAATGGTTTGGGTTGGAAGGGACCTTAAAGATCATCTAGTTCCAACCCTCCCTGCATGGGCAGGGACACCTCCCACTAGACCAGGTTGCTCAAAGCCCCATCCAACCCATCCTTGAACACCTCCACGGAGGGGGCATCCACAGCTTCTCTGGGCAACTTGTTCCAGTGTCTCACCACCCTCATACTAAATAATTTTTTCTTAATGCCTAACCTAAATCTACCATCTTCCAGCTTGCAAGCCATTCCCCTTTGTCCTATTACTACATGTCCTTCTCTGTAGCCCCCTTCAGGTACTGGAAGGCTGCTATAAGGTCTCCCTGGAGCCTTCTCTTCTCCAGGCTGAACAGCCCCAACTCTCTCAGCCTTTCTTCATAGCAGAGGTGCTCCAGGCCTTTGATGAGCTTTCTTTGGACTCTTTCCAGTAGCTCCATGTCCTTCTTGTTGCTTATCGCTGCACAAACTAAATAATTGCGTTAACAGCATAAACATCGTAAGAACTCATTGACCCATGTCATGGTTTGGGCCGAACACAACAGCAAAGAACCAGCCACGTGGCCATTCACTCAACTCCCTCCCCTGACATACACACAGTGGGATGGGGAGGACAAAGGCCAACTGGAAGCTCTTGGTTGAGACAAGGACAGGGAGGGTTTCCCCTTCTCATTCCACAGCAGGCAGGCAGGCAGGCAGTCATACTCCAAAGCTGACAAACTTCTCATCACAGGGAATAAGCCTCTTTCAAAAGCTCAGACCTTAATGGAAAATCCTGTACCTGATACTGGTATCGATAACAGGAATTCAGTCCAGAATTAGCAGTTTCAGTGGAAGGGGCAGTTTCTCACATCTTTTTGGCTCTAGCACCTCCAGACTTCCCAAGTAAGGAATACCTCAGCTAGGAAGAAATCAGTCGTGCCACAAAAGATTAGAGAGAAATCCTGTTCTCGTCTCTGAAGGCACTTACCCATTACTCTTTCAACAGCAACATTATCTGCATCTTTGGGTATTTTTTTTGTTTGTTTGATTATTTGTTTGTTTTCCACGTCTGAGCTGCAGGTGTTAACGAAAAGTGGTGAGTTCAGGGATTTTCCACTAGAGGGTAGCCTTG